TCTCATACGTTATATTATTCTGTGCTTTATAAGCTCTCCTCAGTTCTATTACTTCTTGGTTTATAAGCTCTCATACGTTATATTATTCTGTGCTTTATAAGCTCTCCTCAGTTCTATTACTTCTTGGTTTATAAGCTCTCATACGTTATATTATTCTGTGCTTTATAAGCTCTCCTCAGTTCTATTACTTCTTGCATTATAAGCTCTCATACGTTATATTATATTGTGCTTTATAGGATCTCCTTAGTTCTATTACTTCTTGGTTTATAAGCTTTCCTAAGTTATATTACTCCTTGCAACATAAGCTCTCCCTTGTTATATTACCCTTGTAGATAAGCTCTCCTTAGTTACATTACTCCATGCTTTATATTATGTAGTTTAATCAGAATATAAAAATATTTGTTTCTTAAACTAATTATTCATCAGATATCAAAATATTTGCTGGAACTATTGTTACACATAATTTGAAAATAACATTTTATATATTTGAGATCTAGATTCATCTTAAACTTTATATAATTAATTATTTCCTTTCTTTTATGTTGAAAAAGGGTGTTAATTAATAAATGAATGATTTGACAGAAAAGACAGAACCTTAAAAACGAATTGATTTTTATAAAGTAAATTCCATTTTCGATATCTTAAACTTCTTATCTTGCTTAATATAAATTTATATTTGACTATTGTGGTTTTTTTAAGTGTTTTGTTTCCAAGTATACCAAAAGGTAAAATTCATTTACAGGCATTGCTTGAACGGCTTTGATGCCTCGTAGATCCCCTAGTTTTGATTTCATACACAAGTAACAGCTGGAAGCAAATTTGTTCGATTACATTTGTCTATGTCGATTACATATTAGAAATTAAAAACAATTTTTCTTCTCAATAGCATTTCAATCAGAGGAGTTATAATTGAGAATTTACAAAATTTTATTCTTATGCTAAATTTACTTTAGTTTGACGTGAAATCTTAATATGTGCACTGCAAACTATTTCGGAGAAATATCAGTGATTCTATGGCTGCAAGTTCTTGCTCTTACACAAAAATCTCTAAGAATTTTACCAATTACTTCCAAAAACTGAAGCTAAACACAGGTTTTCTACTTTCATGATGTAAATGTCTGAGGGCTATAAAAAGTATGAGTGAGTTCTTAATTGCACTGTAGATAAGTGGTTTAACGCCAGGTTTTGTTTGATTTTAATTTTAAAAGCTTCTTTTTGCTTATCAGTGCCTACAGTATTGAAAACATAAGATTACATTTGATAATAATCCCCGCAATCAACTGTTAAACCACTTTAGCCACCAAAGTGAAAATAATCCCCGAACCACCAAAGTGAAAATAATCCCCGTAGTCAACTGTTAAACCACTTTAGCCACCAAAGTGAAAATAATCCCCGCAATCAACTGTTAAACCACTTTAGCCACCAAAGTGAAAATAATCCCCGTAGTCAACTGTTAAACCACTTTAGCCACCAAAGTGAAAATAATCCCCGTAGTCAGCTGTTAAACCACTTTAGCCACCAAAGTGAAAATAATCCCCCCAATCAACTGTTAAACCACTTTAGCCACTAAAGTGAAAACAGCCAGAGTAAAGTGTGTAATAATTTCCCGCAATGGTATTTTATGTTGGTGCTCAATTTCTTTAATCTTTCCAATTTCTACAGATTATACTGATACTGTTCATGTTACTAATATTGATACTGATACTGTTCCGGATACTAATATTGATACTGATACAGATACTGTTCCGGATACTAATATTGATACTGATACTGATACTGATACTGATACTGATATTGTTACTAGTACTATACTATAATACCAAAATTTCTGATACTAATATAGTTACTGATATTAATACTGATACTGTTACCGATACTGATACTAATATTGATGCTGATACTGATACTGACATTGTTACTAGTACTATAACTAATATAGTTACTGATATTAATACTGATACTGTTACCGATACTGATACTAATACTGTTCCGGATACTAATATTGATACTGATACTGATACTGATATTGATACTAATACTAATAGTGTTACTGATACTGATACTGCAGATACTCATAACAATTGTTTATTATTAGAATATTGCTACATATGTTGTTTATTATTAGTATACTGCTGCTTTGTTCATTATAAGCACATTGCTACCTATATTGTTTATTATTAGAGAATTGCTACATACAATTGTGTATTATTAGTATATTGCTAAATATATTATTTATCATTATAATATTACTACCTACATTGTTTATTATTATGATATTGCTACTTATATTGTTTATTGTTAGTATATTGCTACTTTTATTGTGTATTGTTAGAATATTGCTACTTTTATTGTTTATTATTAGAGTATTGCTACAGATAATGTTTATTATTAGTATATTGCTTGCTACATATATTGTTTAATATAAGAATATTGCTACATATATTGTTTAATATTAGTATTTTGCTACATATATTGTTTAATATAAGTATATTGCTACCTGTATTGTTTAATATAAGAATATTGCTACCTATATTGTGTGTATTGAATAGATGGATTAAATTGTTGGAGTTTTATTAGAAATATCCTAAGACATTGATAAAGGACTATTACTTTTTACTTACTTTTTACCGTCTAATAATTTAGAAATTAAAGAACTTAAGGGAGTGTAAACAAAAGTTATTGAAATGCAATTATCTAAATGCAAAAATATTTTTGAAACATAAAATAATCTTCGAAACACTTTAAAGAAATAAATTGGAAAATCTGTTCTATTCCAAACTTTTATCAAAATCTAATTAACAAACAAAAGAGATTTAAAGAAAATCTCTTTTTTAGGGAAAATTTTAACCAAATATTGCGAAATTAAAACTGTAAAGATGTATTCAAAAAGTAAAAAACTTTTGCGGATTCGATTTTTGCATTTGATTAATTTTATTTAAAACTTTATTCGATTTTTTATCTACGTGGCCAGGCTAAAAATATCAAAAATAACAAAGTCCTACCTTGAAAAGCTGGTACAAGCTTGCAGGCAGCCAGGCCGAGAAACCATTTTCCTCCGTACAAACATTGTATCAGGGTCGGAGGAATACAGATTACACACATTGATATGCCAGAGATAGCCAGGTTTACAATATACAGATTCTTAGGGGTTCTATGGATCTTCTTACCTAATTAGATATACACCATGGTATAGTATATAGTTAGTACAATCCTTTGTAATAATTATTCAGTATTAAAATATTTGTCATTTTAATTTCAAGTGATCTTCCATTTAAAGATTCACAACGATACCCTTTAAACCTTTATACGATCAAACATGTGGGTAAAAAGTATTTTATTCTGACAATTTCCTCTACTTTTTCTGATGCAGAAATGCGCAATTCATTCCATAGAGAAACCCCAATAGAAATTTAATTAACCTTAAAGAGAAGATAATTATATATCATGCTGTTTGATCAGACAAAGCTGTTAAAGGTACTGGTGGGAATTGACCATGCTACTCTGTAAATGTAAAGACACTTTGAATTCCTTTAAAGAGCTGTGTTGATTGGGGACCACCTTCCTAAGATACATTCTTTGATTTTCTAATCCTAAATGTTTGCAACCCGATGTTGTAGACTTTTCATATTTTAAACTTTGATTCTGCTAGGCCAATATGTGTAAGTTTGAAATATCAAAGGTTTACTTTATTTGATTACGACAATAGAGAAAATTTTAGTTTGTTTCAAGAACTCAGTATCTTTTCAAACTAAACTGTTGGAAATAAATAAAGTTTTATTTGTGCACTACAGTTTCTCGTTCTTAGTTTTCTTTTCATTTGATGGCTAATGATACGATCGATTGGTTACTGAGTAAGGATCTTAAGCATATTTAATCCTTTAGTCTGTTTTATTCAATATTTACTTTCATAAAACGAATATTTATCTAATGTCTTTGTAATGAAAATCATAACTTTATGAACCAGGAAAACGACTTTGAGATCCTTTTAATATTTAGAAGAGGAAAGCTTAAAGTTTGTCCCTTGAACAATTATTTAAATTACTTTTAGATGCAAACACAGGAATGCACTTTCAGTATTTACTTTCTTTATATTTAGTTATTCTATCCCAGAAGAATTGAAGTTGAATTCGAAAAATCATGATTTAGATTTTTTTCTTAAAAATAATATTATTGCTTCCAAATACTCAGAGGAGGGCGATAACATAAATTGTCTACAAATGTAATAAATAAAAGTTGAAGTAACAAAAAGTGACGTTTTTAGTATTACTATAAACTTCAAATTCAAGGTGTATTTTAGAATGTCTAACAGTTTTTGGATTGATAATTCTTTTGCAGGGGAGGTCTGAGGGAGAACGTAAGAAAATTTATATTTCCAACAGCTGTATACTGTACATATATAGATAACTATATGAAGATTTCAAAGTCTGTTTAATGGCAACTTTATAATTTTTTTGTATGATATCTAGATATTTACCTAACACAACCCAGATAAGAGCTGTATTGCTGAGAATACCCAGACAACAGATAGTAGCATATAGAGATATCAAGATAGTCTCCATAATCGGGCCCATCAACCTCTCCCCAGATAGATCTAGATAAATATACATTAAACATTGCTCTCTAGAAATATACATATATATGTATAAATTTATTCACACACAAAGATATAAATACATATATAAATGGTGTAGTTTAAATTTGTTTAAATAAATTCTTGAAAATAGTTCTAGATGCATAAACCTTATACATTGCTCTCTGCCAGATAGATCTAGATTACTAAACCTGATACATTACTCTCCAGATAAATCTAGATTACTAAACCTTATATATTACTCTCAAGATAGATCTAGATTAATAAACCTTATACATTACTCTCCAGAAAGATCTAGATTAATAAACCTTATAAATTACTCTCCAGATAGATCTAGATTAATAAACCTTTTACAATATTCTCCAGATAGATCTAGATTAATAAACCTTCTACAATACTCTCCAGATAGATCTAGATTATAAACTTTATACATTACTCTCCATATAGATCTAGATTAATACACATTTTACAATACTCTCCAGATAGATCTAGATTATAAACCTTATATAATACTCTTCAGATAGATCAAGATTAATGAGCCTTATACATTACTCTCCAGATAGATCTAGATTAATAAACCTTATACATTACTCTTCAGATAGATCAAGATTAATGAACCTTATACATTACTCTTCAGATAGATTTAGATTAATAAACCTTATACATTACTCTTCAGATAGATCTAGATTAATGAACCTTATATATTACTCTTCAGATAGATCTAGATTAATGAACCTTATACATTACTCTCCAGATATATCTAGATTACCAAACCTTATATATTACTCTCTAGATAGATCTAGATAAATAAACCTTATACATTACTCATTAGATAGATCTAGATTAATAAACCTTTTACATTACTCTCCAGATAGATCTAGATTAATAAACCTTATACATTACTCTCCAGATATATCTAGATTACTAAACCTTATATATTACTCTCTAGATAGATCTAGATTAATAAACCTTATATATCACTCTCCAGATAGATCTAGATTAATAAACCTTATATATTACTCTCCAAATAGATCTAGATTATTAAACCTTATATATATTACTCTCCAGATAGATCTAGATTAATAAACCTTACATATTACTCTCCAGGTAGATCAAGATTAATAAACCTTATATATATATTACTCTCCAGATAGATCTATATCAATAAACCTTATATATTACTCTCCAGATAGATTTAGATTAATACACCTTATATATTACTCTCCATATAGATCTAGATAAATATACCTTATACATAGCTCTCTAGATAGATCTAGATTACAAAAATAGATCTAAAATAGATGTAAATATAGATACAATAGAAAACAATAACAAACATTTTTTTGGTGGATTTTAAGGACAAATTTTTGAAATTCTGAGCATCCATAAACCTTCCCTTGGGTCATGTGAGGTCCACAAAAAATCTGGGCTCGATCGGTTTAGTCGTATAAATGTTTATTTGAAACAAACAAACAGACAAGCAAAGTATATACATATAGATGGTGTTTGAAGGTTTATTATATTAAATCCATCTCTGACCAATAAAGGATTGTATCAGCTAGTGTAACACTGGTTGTTCGGAACTGTTAAGATGGATGAAGATAAAAGATAGAAAAGCTGCTCATTTTACGGTTTACATACAAATATAGAAAATAAGATTGATTATTAACAGCTAGAGGTCGAAACATTTGAGTGAAATACACGAACAGTTTATCTGAATATTTAGTGTCACAACTTTTAAATGATTTGAGTAACTTGCCACAAACTCAAATCTTCTAATCTCTATATCTTTGCAACCTAGAAACATTGTGATACTAATTTCATAATGATGAAATTAAGCCTCTGAGAGAAAAAGTGTGAAGTTGTTTTTTAACACCCTTCATTTTAAACTATGAATTCTGTTAGATCAAATAAGTCTAAAATATCAAAGAAAATTCGAGTTTGTGGCATTGACTTCATTTCTTTGGTAGATTTGAGATTTTTATTAGATTTGATTCGTTCAGGAGATTTGATATATTTTATACATTTGATAGATTTGGTAGTTTTAATTTTCTAGATAGATTTTATACAGTAATAACTAGAAAACTCTGAAATAGAAAGACGACTTATAACTTTAAAAAGTCTAATGAGCATGTGGAGTGTAAACAGACCCATTTCTCGAAATTGGTGGTTTAATGAGTGTGTAATAAAACTATTTGGTTTGTAACTAGGGTTGGTAATCGTTTTTGAAAACGATCGTTTAACGATCGTTTTTTGCTTCGTTAAACGATCATTTTTAAAAACGATCGTTTCGTTTTCTCAAAAAAACGATCGTTTTTAAAACAACCCACTCGTTTTGAACTGTTAGAAAACGAAGAACATTCGTTTTTGAAAACGATCATTTTCAGAAAAACGATAAGCGACCGTTTTTTATACGATTGTTTTTAAATAAACGATCGTTAAAAAATAACGATCGTTTTTGAAAAAAAAATTATCATTTATACGACGTCCTGAAGATAGTCATAAATGTCGTCTTTAATTAGATTTATCAAATGTCGTCTTACATGCCGTAGCAGTTTTAAAATGATCAGCGGAATTGAATTGAATTGAAGAAATTTGTTCTACTTTTGAGAGTGCAGAGCCGCCATGAGCCCCGCAAAATGGTCAATATGAACTTTAAAACCTAATTCTTTATTTGTTTTATATATGCTTGAAATTAGGCACCCAAGAAATTAAAGTACAAGATATTAAAAATATTAAGTTTTGATCATAATTGTTTAGTTAATGAAAGGTCATCCCTAGACTGATTTGATTAGTGATTGGATAAGGTAATGATTGATAATTACGTCACATAAAGATAATTAATTCTACAGATCGAAAGAAGGACTGTAGTCTCCAAATTTACGGTTATTATCAAGGATCGAAGGGTAGTCGTTAACGAAGGGTAGTCGTTAACGATCGTTAACAAAGGGTAGTCGTTAACGAAGGGTAGTCGTTAACGATCGTTAACAAAGGGTAGTCGTTAACGAAGGGTAGTCGTTAACGATCGTTAACGAAGGGTAGTCGTTAACGATCGTTAACAAAACGACGAACTTTATAAAAACGATCGTTTTGAAAAACGATCGTTTTTTTAAACGATCGTTTTTTATAACGATCGTTTAAAAAACGACAGTTTTTAAAAAACGAACTTTATAAAAAAACGATCGTTTTTAAAAACGATCGTTTCGTTTTTCGATTTTCCTCGACGTTTTCTTAACGAAACGATCGTTTTTTTCAAAAATCAAAACGTTACCAACCCTATTTGTAACACCATCCAATACACTTAAATATTGCTATAAGGTCTTATTTCTATTCCATCGTTTTCTGGTTATCACTGTACATTTGATAATTTACTAATTTTAGTTTTCTTGGTAGATCTGGTATATAAAACAAAAGATAAAACAATGTATTTTATTAGAATTATATATAAAAGCTAGAACAATGCTTGTCAAAGGAACAACAACCCTCATGTACTCGACCATATTATTTTCTTAATAAACATATGATAAGAAATAAATGATTTTTTGTAAAACGGCGTGACAAAATTGGCTGACCTTTTTTTAGGCAACCTATAGGTACCCCAATAGGTGACATAGGCTATTTTTTGTTGTTGAAAATTTTCGATATTCCATGGGCACTTTAAATCATAATTTATTACCGCGGGTAAGCGGTGTGAGTAACTATGATTAAACATGAACAACTTCGGTTATACTCCAGCTAGTATAACAATAAAATAGAACCAAACCTTTATAACATGGTTTTATTTGTATAATTTATATGATTGAATGTCTATGTAAAATTTCAATGTTTCGTAGCGATTTTTTTTCACATGAGATCGGCAAAGTATCCAAGAGTTATATTTGCAAAATAATCCGAATGTTTAGTGTCCAATGTCCATGTAAAAGAATCGAGCTCAGGTCACAAACTAATCTTTGCAACCAAATGATGTATACCTTATGATATTTCTAAATGTTAATTCTGTTAGAGAAACAGTTTAAGTTTGAAATATCAACGATTTACACCATTAGATTGCAAAGATAAAGGGATTAGAAAATTTGAGTTTCCTTTCTAGTTATTTAGATTGCGATAAAAACAAAACTCCGTCTGGAAGGTGAAAGATGTAAAATCATCAACTCTGAGATTTATCCAGATCAACATCAAGTTTTATCCTTTATCAATGACTTGCTATCTTTGCTCAAATCCTCCCTCTAAAGGGACTTTCGGCGTAATTTCAAATGATCATTCATTTAAAGACTTAGATTTCTGATTTCCAGCTTTATATACCCTTTAAACCTTTATCTGACTTACAAGGAGGAGAATATCGTTTGCAGCTATATAACCCACAATGGAAAATTATCAATGTTGAGATGGAAAAAACAATGTATATCTACGATTTTTACTCAGACAAAGGTTTCAACATTTCTGTTGTGAATCGTTAATGTAACTCTTTATATTTGAGCATTTTAAGTAGACTTTCTCTTTAAAATAATGAGCAAAGTTGATTAATATATATAAGTTTAATAGTGAATAAACAAACAAATGAGATTTTCAAAGGATAATTGGAACAACTGTAATTATACAAGTTTGTACATAACATCAAATCTAAGGGAAGAACTCAGCTGCAAATGAATAAACATAGATATTTAGATAATTAGATAGTTATCAATGAATAGATTGATTTTTAAAAGATTCATAAACTAGCATAATAATGACGTATAATCATAAAATTTAAACTATTAAGGATTAAATAATACTGATGAAAATGCTGAAGAAAATTAATGAACTTTTGCTGAATAAAAATTAAGGCAAAATTATAAATAAAAAATAAAAATAAAAAATTGTAAAAATAAAAAATGTAAAATATTCCAGCTAGACAACTAAAAATACTCCCGTCCGTGCTTGGATTATAACATCAATAAAAAGAAAAAAAAACGTTATTTTTGATACTTTTTTAAAGCAAGGGGTAAATAATATTCTTGAAATTTGATATCTAAAATATTTTTATTTACCTTATGTAAATACTTTTAGTTTTTAACATTCAAAACAAAATATGTTTAATTAACCCTTGAAAAAAAGTATCTTCATTTTTTAAAGGGAGTTAGTTAATATTTCATAATATTTTTGATTTTGTTTTTTTTAAATAATTTTCGCTGGCGCTGGATTGTCGAACATTCCTGGAAAATATGAAAATGTCGTCTTCATTATCAAAAATCCTCGAAACAGGAATAAATGTTTTCAAAAGTAATTCTCAGATCATGAAAAATACAAAATATCATGAAATATCAACTATTTACGAATGCGTCGAAAAATAATCGATGACTATTGTTTGTAATATTTGAATGATTTTTTGGAATTATATTGATTTGTTTACGATCCGAGTTGAATGTTAGATTTTTCTGAATTTGTATGGACACTACGTTATTCGGTATTAGTCGTTCTTAACAATTTTCTCCTTATAGACGCAACAGATAGAAGTAATATTAGTAGCAATCAAAAGCGCTTATTTTTCGCCGCAAGCCTATACCCCCTTTCATTTTTCGCGAACTCTACCTTTAAATTGTCTTTTTTTTTTCTAGATTTAAACTTATATCTCCAAGGTTCAAGCTCTTTTCTTATGACCCTTTATTATCTCAAAATAAGATAAAAAATTGGGGTTCAGTAAAAAAACGGAGTTGTAGGCTAAATCTTAAAAAAAGATAAATAAGAGTATAAGTTAAACTATACCATAGTTATCTGGTATAGGTAGAGACATGTTTAAACTCCAGTTGAACTTCTCCTCCATTGTGCTCGGTATAGAACTCATAGAACTAGAGTTCTCCATCTATAATAAGATCAGTAAACCACAGAAGGCACTTTTCAAACTAAAGTTTTTAAGGGATTTGAGAGGGTTTAAAACTAGAACAGAGAGGTTAGATAAATCCAAGCTAAAAGGCTCTGTTCATTAATAATAATTTAATTGGTGTTCCGTGATTTGAGACAGTGCGCATTTTGAACCGGTGATTGACGGTTCAGCAACGCGGTTCAAATTCATTAAATTCGGCCTCTGTAAGATCAAGCAAGTTTGGGGGGGGGTGCAATGGGGACTAAACCCCTAGATATGTAAAAACACGGATTCTTGGGGGGTTGTGGGGGGGGGGGGTATTGAGCCCGGTCAAATTCCCGTATACGCTTCTGAGACAATTTTATTCAATTTAAAATAAAATAAGAAATTAAAAATTTATAGTTCTTAACGTTTCGTATTTGAATACGAAAAAGTTTCCCGAATAAAATGATTAGAATTGAAGTGATCTACAGACAGAACTGAAAGTTCAAAATGAAATGTTCAGTTTGACATCTCAAATTTCACAATTATTCTTCAGCCGCCCCGTAAAGAAAAAATATATATTTACAATTACATGGTTTATTTTTTATCTTATAGGTGAAAATTTAACCCTTTACAGTGGTGAATAAAAACAGTGTAATTTTAGTCGTCGTTGTTCTTATTCTTTTAAAGAAATGTTGATAAGGAAGAACAGCCTATATTTGTAACTTTTTAAATATGTTCGGGCACATTCAAGACTTTACGTTAGCACATTTTTATGATGAAAAAATTCCACTGTTTTCCGATTATTACTGTAGTGCCTGAGCGAAAACAATTGCCTATGCAAAGAAAGTGGAAGGTTTTGACTTTTTAACTCAACGTTGATTATGACGAAAACAATAGTTCAGGAAAAATTATGTAATTTAATTGTTATTACAAAATGTAACATTTTAAAGACAAAAAATCTTTAAAACGTCATTTATGCAATACAATTTTAATATAATAAGAGACTTTGATCTACAAGACAGAAAACTTTTAACTGTATTTCATCTTAAATTTAACTTTTATATTGGATTTCAAACTATCTATGCCTTTTCCATCAAAAATAAAAATTGATTTGAAAGAAATTAAGTCTTTGCTCAAATTTTCTAGTCCGCATATCTTTGCAACCTGATGGTGTAAACCTGAAACACTTTAAACTTAGATTTTTTTATCAACAGAATTCATAGTTCGAATTATTCCAGGTATGCGACATTGGGTTGCAAAGATATATGAATTATATAATTAAAGTTTGTGGCAATGACTAAATTCCTTTGAAATTTAAACATTAAACAAAATATACTGCATCACGTTGATTGTCCTTATGTTAAAGAAAAAAGAAAATGAATTTAATCTGAAACCTGAAAACTTTCAGTATCATAATTCTCAGGTAAAAGGGGACTGTAAAGGAGAGAAGAACTACCTCCGTGTTTCGTCCCGGAGGGTTGGGTGGAGAATGAAACCTCATCAGTAAAAGGAGACCAGAGAAATAGTTCTCTCAAGAGACGAAACCACGGGCTCAGAGATCTGATATATCCGGAGAAACAGGAGAAGAAAACCGGGTTTAGAATTTCCTCTGATCCTGATTATTAACGATGCTAAACTCTAAACGCTAAATCTATAAACAAGCTTATGGGTTCAAATATTTCAAATGAATTGGATATTTTAAGCCAAGTTCTTTGGAAGCATAATATTCAAATTAAAGTTTTAAACATATAATATCGATTATCTAAGGGTGAAGGGGGGGAGGGCAAAACTTTCTGGTTTTCCATTTCGTGAACTTTTTTTCCAGATTTTCGTTATTGCTGCAAAATGGTGGTAAAGGAATAAACTAGGAAATTTCTTCTTGCATTAGTTCTAATGTATGTGTACAATGAATATGTCTAATATGTATATGATATTTCTCAACCTAAAAGGAACATTATGAGTCGGGATATATCTAAGTGTCTAATCAAGTACGAGCTGAGAGCCAATCCTGATGAATCCTATAGTATAATTCTTTAGTCTTTGTTGCCAACAAACATCCCATAGAATACATTTATTCATTGCAACTTACAGAATCATTCAGATTTCTTCGTTGTTTCTAGCTGCATCCCAACTTTACATAACAACAGATGTTTACTCACGTGGATTTAACGGTTCTGTCAATATTTCAGAAAACTGTGACTTTCGATCACAATATGACCCCTTTTAAATAATTTTATAGCCTTTTATCTTAAATATTTTTTTGTTGGCATATACATTTTGAATGAAAAGTATAAAATAAACAAATCTGTAAGTCTAAAGACTGAGATTGATTTCAAATTAAAGAAACCGAATGCTTCTCTCTCTCGTTAGTTCAGGGTGTACTTGTATACTGGATTACTGATTTTCATCTTGAATCTAGAAGCTTACGTTGATATGTTTGCATCCAAACTTGGTTTTTCAAAATTCTCATTCCAAAAACATATTTTATTATCATGACGATTTGAATGTATCTTAGATATTCGAGCACTTTTAATTAGACCGAATTATTGAATTCCATACATCGATTGATGATGCTTGTCAGTGATCTTATTACCTATTAACAGTTATCATTATCATTATAAAAATTATTAAGTGTATATAAAAAGAAGAGAACAATTTCAAAAATAAACCCAAACAAAGGCGCAATTACATAATTTTGATTATTTTTACCGATACTTCAAATTAATATTTATTTCAAACAAAATTTATGTAAAATTCACACAATTGCATTCCTGTCCATAATCAAATATCTCGTTTAGGTTTTAATTGGCAAAATACATTTTAAACTTTGAATTCAGCTTTATTCATTTAAAACAAATATTTAAATTTAGGGCTGAATCTTCCATTGATTAACCAATAAATAATTATTTTATCAATACAGAAAATGAGGGAACAGCAATTCAGTTATCCGGGAAACATCTTCGAAATATGGCGGATCCAGAGGGTTCAGAGGCAAGCAAGTTTACTTTTGCAGCTAGCAACGACAAAGACAGCAAAGCACTTGGTTTTGTTTTGGAAGATCCCAATACAATAAAACACGAGAATGATGGTGGCCCAAAATCATACTGGATGGCGTTATTTTTGTCGATTTGTCTTGGAGTATTCGGCTTTGATTGGGTGTATTTGAGTTGTGGAAATACGAGGTATGTTTAAAGACCTAAAATTAATCATTAAATTCATCATTAAATTTTTTCTTTATTTCAAGACGATATCTATGAAATTTCCTAACATTTAGGTCTTAAATTAACCTTTTCCAAAATGGGTTTGTATATATCTAAGTGTTGTACTTTATTGTTTATTGCATACGAGTATACTATATGATAAAGCTTCATTTAATGTGTATATTAAAGGAAACAAAAATAAGCATTTAATATCTGTTAACATTGTCTCATACCTAAGTTTGTGTTAAATTCGAGTTGAACAAAGCTTGACTGTTAAGTTTTAAAATATAGAAAAGTAAAGTAAATTGAAAAGTTAGCCGAAAGTTTACTAAACAGTAAAAATTATGTCTCATATGTCTCCTGTTTGAAAAACAAATTGAAGTTTGTAGCTTTATTTAAATAAGACGCTTACCACTGACTGATTCCAATTGCAAAGGAATACGAAAAAACACTATATTAGGTAGGGACAAAAGTAATTTAGTTTTTTTGCCACAGAAGCTAATTTTCAAATTCCAATATCTTTGCAACCCAATGTCTTGGACATTAGAAATTCAAACTATGAATTGTCAAATAACCTATGTTTGAAATATTTACGGATTACACAATCAGTTTGCAAAGATATAAGGTTAGAGTTAGTTACAAGAACTCAATTCCTTTCTTTAGTTATTAATAAGGTGCACAATCTTTTTGTAAGAATCTGTGAAATTTTTATTAACAAGATAAAAAATAGATTTAAATTTTGCAATCTGTAATTTTTGAAATTTGGGAATTTGGAAAACTGTAAAAAAAGTCTGTTATTTTTGCATGATTCGTAAAAAGTAAAAAGGACCGGAAAAAGTATATAGGACTGGAAAAAAACTCCAAAGTATTGAGTCTTTGCCACAAACTCTGATTTTCTAATCACTATATCTTTGGAAATTTTGCAGACCTTAGATATTTCAAACTGTGAATTCTTAATTTTAGATGAAATAATTTGATTTTGAAATATTAAAGGATTACAACATCGGGTTCTAAAGGTATTGAGGTTTAAATATTTGATTTTGTTCCAAAGACTCAATTCCTTTGTAAGAACATTTTTTAACAAAAAAATTAGAAGTCTGTAAAGTGTTGCAATTAAAGGGACTGTCGACCTAATTTCAATTAAACCCCAACTTGAACAATTCACAAAAGTACCCTTATTCCGTTTTAGCATGAACATTGAGGAACATTTTGTTGTTTTTAGTATTTAAAATTCTCTTGATATCTTTCATTTTCATATTTTTTAAACATAAATGCGTTTGAATTAAATTTCTTAAAAACAAAAGAATACCTCCATAATATTTCCCAGTTAATGGATACCATTGTAAATCAAACAATGTATAGTTCTTCAAATAAAGGTTTACTTAAAGTAAGGTCAACAGTTTCTTTATGATGAATTGTTCACGATTATTTTCTTTATTTTGTATTCTAAAAATTAGAACAAATATAATTTTTAAATCTCTGATTAGGTATTTTATGTTTGGATTGATGAAGTTCTTGACTGCTGGTGGAGCTGGAATATGGTGGATAGTTGATATTGTCAGGTAAACATGATAATGTTTATGTTTTCAACTCACACTCGAGAATAATTTTTGTAAAAAAATTAGATTTGATTAAATGAACCAATCAACCGACATTCTTTCTCTTTCCCTTTTTTCAAGGCAATATGAATTATATACAGAACTAAGATTAAGGGGTTATATTGTATTGTGACGTATTTGGACTTTTTTATAGTTTTATTAAAACAATTAATATAATTTGTAAACAAAGAGTTTTCTTAGTTTTAATGAGAAGTAAAGGAAGACTTCGTGGAGGTTTATTAATTGCTGTTATTTACAACAAAAAAAAATAGTTTCTTAGCAGTTAAAAGTCCCAACACGCCACAGTTAATTGTAAACAAACCTATTCCATACTTTGAAATAAAGGATACTCGATATTTCTTTTATATAGTATCCATTCCATATTTTTACCATATTCCTTATTCTCAAATATTCTAAAGATCTGAAATGTTTTCGCGAAATTCCAAAGTATTTGTGAAACCCTTATTAGATATGTAACTAGAATTCTTTACAAGTGTGTGGTGTATTCTCTAGTTTAATAAAGTGCAGAGCACTGACTATAATATTTTTATCACCTTGATTGTGTATTGTGACGTGAAAGGATGCAAAAATAAATGTATGGAGGGGGTATACAGTCTAAATATACTCAATATCCGCTTATCCTTTGTAAATACATTATTGCACCAAACACTTTTTAATACTTCTGAATTTTTGTAAATAACAATATCAAAGAATTTAGCAAAGAGGCCTGGAAGGTACACTGGAAACCCTCATAACTTATACATATTTGCTGTATTTTATTAGATAAGCTCAGCTAAGGGCGAAAAGTCAACTAGCCAAATTTCTATACTTATGCTATTTTTTTACATGAAATGTAAAAAAAGAAGGAAAACCTTTTCAACTGTCTTCCGTACTTTAAGAACTGCCTAAAAGGACTGTCATTGTAATTTTAACTGAACCTAGGCGTGGGGGGGGGGGGCATGCCAGATTCACAATGTTACCTCTAAAACCTCATCTGATCAATAATATGATAGTTAACGTCGTTGTTCTTGTTATAAACGTGTGTAATTCTATATAGGAATTGAGTCTTTGCCAAAACTTATATTTTGTAATCCTTATATCTTTTCAACCTGATTGTGTAAACCTTTGATATCTTAAACTCAGATTATTTGATCTAACAGTGGCCGAATTTAAAGAATTTGAGCGGCGGTTTAAATTTAAGCCGCGGCTTCAATATTGTTGGTTCCACTTAAAATTGTATCAAATGTTTCAAGATTTAAGCCGGCGCTAAATTTAACCCGGGTTTTGGCGGATTTAAACCGCGGTTCAAATTCTTTAAATTCCATCTCAGATCTATTCCTTTCTCTATTGAAGCAAGAAATGTGCAAGTTACTTTTGAGAAACCACAAATGAAAATTCATACTTTTATCAGACAAAGTTTTTAAGGAACAATTGTGAATCCGACAAACCACTCAATCCTTAGGGAGTCAGTTGAAATTACGTTTACATTCTCTTTATCCCCTCTTATTAGCAATACACTTTATATTATATAAGTAAAGCAAGATATGAAGGTTTGTGGTGTATTTTTCCCTTACACAACATCTCTATTCGACTAGTTCATTGCAAGGGAGAGACGCTTTCTAGTTTTTTTTAAGTATGCGAGAAAAAATCATAAACTGCTTAAATCATATGTTTGTACCCCCACCTCCCTATCTACTAAAATGTTGAACTGTGTGATAGTCTTGGTTTAATTATCATATATATTGTCTTGTTGTATATGAATGTATTATGTACATATGGTATTAATATACAATATACATATATGATTAATTAGGATTGCTACGAGAAAGTTCAAGGATGGACGTGGAAGAGAACTTGTATAGAATCCTTCAATCAGAACTTAAATCAATGTATGGATTAATATTAAGATTGAGTTAACCTAGTTAGTATCTGTAGGAATTATATTTTGTCCAATTTTCTATCAATAAACTGTCTCATAAAAGCTTTCTATTGCATCTATTCATGGTATCACGTGACCGGAAAAGAAACAATCCTGCATATGTATTACATCTGTTGGATCCGTTTTATCCTTGCCAAACTTCCTGTGACACGCGATACATTTCAGGCAATCTCAGCAGTTAAATTCAGAAATATCATCTATTAAAAAAATTCTTATGAAATCTAAAAAATTTTGATTTGAAAAATTGTTTTGGAGAATGCCAACTATTGAGTATGTATCCAATCCATGAATGTTTTTGAATTTTCAATTTATTAATTCTCTTTGATAGTTATTAATTTATTTAAATCTGTTTACATATTTCTGAAACAGGAAGGTATCCACCTCATTCAATCACTGTAAAATATATTTTTCTCTTATTCTACCTTTGGACTTCATAGAGATCAGAGCAAAACTGCCAATACAACACACACGTACACTGTACAATTTATACATTGTACATAGAATACAACTACAAGAAGATGATGCCACCAGAACTTCATTCTTGCAAATTTATAAATTTTTATTAACATAAGTATTGTATACTGTGTAAATATCTCCGAATCCTACAACAATATTGTGACAAGTTCAAAATTGGATTTTGGTCCCGAGTATTATGAAAAGCACTGCAGAAATGAACCCTCAGTACTTTCCTAATACTCTAGATCCGGATCTAAACCTTCAGACAAAACAAATATCTAATTGACAAATATGAAAAATTGAAAAATATTCATAAGATAAGATAAGATAAGATAAAGTTTATTGCTAAAATAAATGTATCTGTATACAGATAGAGTTTACAATTACAAATTGATGATTATATTAACAGTACAAGTATAAAGCAATTAGGTGGAAAATAGCTCTTGGCTGTTTTGATTATTTTTTCCACCTAATTTTAGTAATAATAACAAAACATTTCAATTAAATAGATTTAAGAAGAACGATTAGAGATCAGGGTGCGAATTTATCTTATACAAAATAGTTTAGACATTAATTCGAATAACTAGAGTTTAAAGTAATTTTCTGACATGTACACAACAAATATCAAAGCATATTAAAACATATCTAATTAGTTTTACATGAAAAGCAATTCGGTTTATAACACATTGTCCTATAATTTTCAAAAAGAGAATTTAGTAGTCTATTTTTAAATATACTTAGAGAGTTGCTTCTTTTTAAGTCAAAAGGCAGGTTATTCCACATCTTAAGAAGAGAACTTGATGGTAAATACTGTAATGAGCATATTTTGAGTATGTCAAGTTGATAGTTAAGAGATCTTTCAAAGTTTCCAAGCTTTTAAAAAATATTTTCAAAAGATGCAGGAAGAAGTTTATGTGTATATTTATACATAAATATAGCTTGGTTAAAGTCTACCAGCTCATTAATCTTTAGAATCTTATACTTAAGGAAAAGAGGATCACTATGAGACGTGGCTTTTGAGTTATCAATTAATCGTATTGCTCGTTTCTGTAAAATGTGAATTTGTTTCATTTCTGAACATTTGTTTCTTCCCCAGGCTGAAATTCCATATTCTATAAATGATCGAAATAAAGAGTTGTAAATGGTTAGTTTGATATTATTAGGAAGAATATTTTTTACACTTGACAAAGCAAAAACTGCACTGGATGCTTTCTGGTTCCATTTAATTTTTTACCTTTTCCTCGGTCGGAACTATCTAAAAGTTAAATTTTAGATTAGTAAGATTCTTTATTTGCTTTATTAATTCCGCATTCTCCTATTCTCTACATCCTTCTATTCTCCTATTATCTACATCCTTCTATTCTCCTATTCTTTACATCCTTCTATTCTCCTATTATCTACATCCTTCTATTCACCTATTCTTTACATCCTACTATTCTCCAATTATCTGCATCCTTCTATTCTCCTATTCTTTACATCTTTCTATTCTCCTATTATCTACATCCTTCTATTCTCCTATTCTCTACATCCTTCTATTCTCCTATTCTCTACATCCTTCTATTCTCCTATTATCTACATCCTTCTCCTGTTCTCTACATTCTTCTATTTTCCTATTCTCTACATCCTTCTCCTGTTCTCTACATCCTTCTGCTACTCTCTATATCCTTCTCCTATTCTCTACATCCTTCTGCTATTCTCTACATCCTTCTATTCTCCTATTCTCTACATCATTCTTCTATTCTCTACACTCTTCTCATATTCTCTACATCCTTCTCCTAGTCTCTACATCATTCTTCTATTCTCTACATCCTTCTCCTGTTCTCTACATCCTTCTCCTAGTCTCTACATCATTCTTTTATTCTCTACATCCTTCTCCTATTCTC